GCTCATAGGGCAGATGTTCCAGGCCCCTGATCATCCTGGTAGCCCTGCGCTGGACTCTCTCCAGCAGCTCCACATCCCTCTTGTACTGGGGAGCCCAGAACTGGACGCAGTACTCCAGATGTGGCCTCACCAGGGAGGTGAGGAAACTTTCAAAGGAAAGTTTGCAACGATTCCATTGGTAGTGGTGATATCTATCTTTTGTCATGATCATAATGCAGAAAAATGTACCTTCCTCATAGCGAGACTCAATAAAAAAAGCAGTGTCTCTAGTGAAAGCATCACCTACACTTAGCCCCCAATAACATCAACTTCACATTAGCTGTTACAAGACGGTCACAATCACAGGCAAGTGCTGATAGGAAAGTTTTCTTCTCTGTTATTTACTGTTAGTTACAAAGTTACTGGGAACTCACTTGATTGCTTTGAAATGCACTTGTTGAAATAATTACCATCAGCGGAAGTGAAAAGGCTGCAAAATGCACATAATTCTGCCTCTGGCCAAAACATAGCACAACGGCTGGTTCCTTTAGAGTCTTTTTCTGGTTTAGATATTTCAAATTCTCCTTTCCTACGGCTCTGGAGCATATTCCTGCTTACTGGGCATTGCCTTACAACTGCCTTATAATTTAGGAAATCCATTTTCTGTGTGGGACCAGAAAGGCAGGTGGGTTAAACAACTTCCATGAGGTTAGTAGGTCAGTGCATCCTCGTTTTTTGCTTGGAGACAGATATCTTGGACACAACCACATCATAGTGACCCTGCTCAGGGCAAACAGTGGGGACCCACTTGCTTTGAGGAGAAAAATCAGAGACTTTTTACAACTGGGTGCATGGAAGTGCCTCCATCACACATGCCCATAGAGAAGCAAGACATGCCCATGGATCAAGAATATTGAGCACATCTCAAAATAAAATACCTAAAAATAAATTTCAACATCTCCACGGCCCCAGAATTCTTCCCATTTACTCCAAGGGCCCAAATCATGGACTTTGGTTTCTATGAATAGCCTGCCCAGCTTCTGCTGGTCTTATAAAGCCTGGGCCGAGTCCACAGTCTCCACTGATGGTGGATTATTCCCTAATCAGTGGCCACGTTTCTGGTTAATAGGCTCATACTCACATCCCATATGCCCAGTGGCACAGCCAGGTGTCACTGTATCACAATCAAAGCATTTTTCCTCTTCAAGTAGAAGACAAGCGTAGCTGTTTCTCCTACAAGCACTGCCTTGCTGCAAGGAAGACCTGTATTAGGAAGCTGTGGCCTGTTGGATGACATTACGCATTAGAGTTGGATGTCTCTAAATGGGAAAAAAAAAAGTGTTAATAATCACAGGAAAAGATGGTGAAGTTGCTGAGGAACAATTTGAATCAAGAGCAAGGCTGGGTTTTCCATAACCGAGACAAATTATAATAAGCTGTTTCAAAGGAAAAGTGCCAAAGGAGAATGAAGAGCCAGGGAAAGGCAAGACACTGACAGATCGGGAGCAAGACTGGATCATGGGGCAAGTGCAGACCAAATGAGACATTTTCGGCTGGTGGATAAGAATGAAGCAGCTCTGGAAAGGAAGGAAAATTAGGAGCAAGGATAGGGTGGAAGGCATTTTTTAATGTCTTTTTTGATAAAAAAGTCCTTGGATAATGTAAAGGCGATTGATTTTTTTTCCCCCTTATCTGTTCCCAAAATGAACAATTCTCACTTTCTTCTTTTCTTAAGGAAGCAAAAGAACTTGGATTCTTCTTTTACCTACTAGCTGGACAGCTGATCTGAAAGCTGTGTCAGTTTCTCTTACAATACCTGAATACCAACACCTTTATCTTTAGGATTTGCAAAAGAGTCACAAAAGCAGCAGACAACAAAACCATTTCTGATGTGCTTTTGAGCCTCCTCACTGCTTCTGTAGTCTCAAAATTCATAATAAGTACTAAATATACCTGCATGAATCAGACACACCAAGGTGTTACACCCTTGGCCTGACAGGTTAAAGGATGGGTTGTCTGTGACAACGTTTGGTGGATGCCTCAATTAGGAAACCTGAGAGCAAGATCCAAAGAACGGGTCAAATGGAATCATTACAAATGTCTTTGTATGACATTGAAAGGTTTTTTGGCAACTGAGAAATTATTTCTAGTAACAAAATGGAACTCTTCGGTGTCTGAGAAGCAGAGCAGTAAATTTCCTATGAATGCTTGGGAAAACTGATGGTCTAGCTGATATCTCTCATCCTCACATTCAAGTGTATTTTCTCGCCAGCCACATTTCTCTAAAAGGCAGTGGAGGCAATGTTGGGGGAGAGGGAAGAGGGCTTAGACAGAGATACAAGCAAGTTTGCTTCTAGTGCTATAAAACTAGGACTGAATAAACTATTTGCTAACTCTGTTAAAGCTTTCCATGAAATTTAATGATTTCCATTTGCAAGTCTCTGTCTCCGTAGGCAAATGGATCACATGTACATAACTGACACATCAGGCATTTTGTCTTCCTACATGCTCCTTTGAAGTCAGTGGGAGCTATAGATACATACCAACTGCCTGTATTGCAGGATGGATTGATTTTAACATTTAAAAATGGCATCTAAAAAATTCTCACAGAAATCCAAATCTGTGTAGTTTAGAAATAGAGACATTCTTTCCACAGCTCTGCAGTACCCATGATACTCACTGCATTTGTGCACTGCTGCTCAACCTTCATTCAGGAGCAAAGTGCACAAAACTGAGTACCACTAATTTTGTTCTGTGTAGAATATGCTGCAACCATGGAAGTTTGCCTTAAGACCTACAAATACATGTTTGGATTATTCAGAAAGAAGAATTCATATATGTACGTGGCTGGGAAAGGAAGAGAGAAATAACAAAATAGGTTCTCCCTCGCAGGATCATCTTTGAACAATTTATTTATCTCAAGCAATATATCATAAAGAGGTTTGATAATGCACAAGGGTCACAGGTGGAGATTGATAAGGGGGAAAGTCCTTTCTTAAGTTTTAATTAGATGAATGACATCAACTATAAACTTTAAAAAAAAAAGGAAAAAAGTATTTTAAGGTTAAAAAAAACCCTTAAAGGCTTTGAAAGCCTGGCATTCTCCAATCCAGGCTCTTAGATTCCCTGTGCTATTATAGAAGGAACGTAGATTAGATATAAATTAAACACAAGGCAGCTCTCTCTGGGCCACTGAACCATTTTTGTAAGAGTTCAGAAGAATCCTTACAGTTCAAAGCAATAGGGAAGTTATTCATTTTTGTAAATTTATAAAATGAAACAGTTTGATCTGGAACTGATCTGAAGTAGGTGCACAGCCTCAGCTTAACGAAAGAAAAAAAGCAACTTAGAAACTTTGTTTTTCTTAAAACTGCAGATTTAAAGCAAATCAGTTTCCATTCATTTCACACCACTTACCTTTCACTGGGAATATTATTCACTATTTTTTTTCCCCAATGGCAAAATATCAATAAAATCCCAAAATGATAAAACCCAAACGAGAGGCAAACTCAGTAAAAACTACAGCAAGTCCCATGAGCACTGAGCTATCATCTGCCTGGGTGGGTAGCCAAGTCCTACAGAAAATACAGCACTCTTCTTCTCTTTCTATAGAAGGAAAGGAAAAGAAAGAGAAGGGGGAAAAAAAAAAAAACCAGCAGACATGGAAAACTCTTTGCAACGAACCCCTATATAAACACAGAAAAATTTCCTCAAGATACAAAACTGGATTAAGTCACTATGTTTACATACAGTTACTGGCAAAAACATTACACTTAGGCCATAAAAATGCAGTCAAGTCTTTTAGTAAAAGATTGAGGAGACAGTTTCTCACTCTGCTCAGCACAGGGAGAAGTGTTTCCTTCTTAGCTTTGTACAGAGCCAGATGGCACAGGCAGGAATGGAAGTTTTCCCTTCTTAATATTTAGAGTTCCCTAGAAGTGATCTAGGTCCCTCATAGTCTTTATTTACTGTCGCATTTACTGTAAATATTAGCAAATATCACTCAACTAGCCTTCTAGTATACAGATAGGTGCAATCAATTATTATTTAAGACCATGAGATGGATCCATTGCATTGCAGTGTGCATAAACATAAGAAAATTAAGCCCATGTAAAAAAAAAAAAAAATTGCCATCCAAAATTTGCTATTGAAGGAAAGTATGAAGCAGGATCATCCTCGTAAAAATGCTTGGTCTAGTCTGATGAGATCAAGGAGATCTAACAACAAGAGAATAACAAAGCTATATTCTGCCTTTCCTACAGGTAATCACTAATTACCTTATCCCTGTCAATCAAGGGATACTCTGCACTTATTAGCTCATTTGAGAAACTGCTGTAGAAATAAGCAAGACCCAAAAAAGAGACGAAGAGAGAAAGGCAAAGTATACAACACCATCTACAGCTAATGTAAATTGAGCAACACAAGAGGAACTTGGGAAAAGGCATAGATATATCTAACTACATATACAGGCATTTTTTGCAGTACATAGTACCTCACAACCTTTCTTTGCTCTCACAAGGACACCAATCATTTCTACAGGTGGAAAAATAAGACTGAAACAGGTAAAACCTCTGTAGTCATATGGAAGCTCACAAGCACCCTTTTCAGTTATACCTTACGCCAAAGCATCTGCCTTAGGCATACTGTGGCTTCCAAATAGGAAGATATTCTTTCTTGCCCCATTAACTCCTCTCCTCTTGCATTCAGGCTCACTACCCACACATGCACCCATTCCTAGAGTGCCTTGCTGTTGCTCGTGTGCCCAGCACACTTCCATTCACTGACCTACCTTTGCAAAACTGCCACAATAGTCCAAAAACAGCACAAGAATGCAAGGAGCAAAAGTTATAGCAGCATCCTTCTGAGAGGTCTCTGAGAGCTGATTAACTTCCTCAGTGCTTTAATCATGGAGCATCTCTACCAAGTAGTATCAGCTATGAGAGGGAAGATGATAAACATAGTACATGAATTTAGGAATCAGGCTCCTTTTTGTGCTTGTGCCTAAGGGACACTCTCAGCTTCTCCTTTATCAGCAGGAGAGTCTGAATGCTTATCCATAAGAATTCAAAAGTATATACCCAGCATGTATAAATCAAGCCAGGTGAGTCAGGCAATCAGCCTGCTAATTGCAGGAAGAGCACTCAGCTGAGCACAAATCTGTTCATCTGAAAGCTCTCGCATCATCATGATCTTAGCACAGCTCCATCTACAAATGTGTGGTATGTGTGCACCCAGGTTCCCAGATCATGCATTTCTCACACCACTCAAATAACTGACTGCACCAGTATCGACCCATTATTACTGAACCATAGTAGCAACTGAGTTCTGCCAAAAACCTCTAGATGATAGTTCACACATTTCTAATTTTTATAAAGTCTATTACATTACCAGCAGCCCATGTTATTAACTGGCCCAGAAGGATCTGTATAAAATCTAGTCTGAATGGATTCCATAATGCTTATTTAGGGAAGTACAGTACTTGACTTTTTGTTAGATTAACTCTTTGATGCCTAAGAAGACCGTTTCCTTGCTCTACCCCTCTCCTTAATTCTGCTTACTCTGTGAGCACTGATCTTCCTGCTATTAAAGGACTGTGAGTATTAACACAAGCACACTCTGTCTGAACCCAGCTGAAAAGTTATACATTACTGAGGGTCAGAGAAGTGTTGTAAGAGTTGGACAAAATTAAAAGTGAAAAATTTATTTACACTATTTTAGTTCAAAAACATCAAAACTAAATGTTTTATTGTTTTAATTCAAAATTATTCAGGGAAAAAAATTGTTAGGTGCATTCATCATAGATTTCAGGAATTGCTTTGGGTAACCCAAAGTTTTGGGTAACCCAAAACAACATGTTTTGATGAACAGAAATTCTGGCAATTTCAGTGGTGATTTCACTTAATCAGAGCTCCCTGTTTTTACTATGCAGCTGACCTCTCTCTAAATAGAAGATCCCTGAGGGAAAGAAAAAAAAAAAAAAGAATAGTAAACAACATCTACATTATTTGCTCTTCTTCAGAAGTGATTACTCATGTCTGGTCTGGTTAATGTTTATGATATAATCTGGGGTTAAAGCACTATTCAACTGTAAAAAGAACACAAAAAAAATGGAAGCAAAGAGCACTGCTGTTCAGACCGGATTCAAGCCTGTGGACTTGGAATTAGTTGGGTCTGGAACAGCTGTTTAGGGCAGGAACAAATTTGTCCTACAAATTAGAAGATTTATAAACAGC